TTTTTCACTACTAAATGGTCCTTCATTCATATCCCCCTTTTTTGTTTAGTTTTGTCAGAGATGGGTATTCCATTGCCATTCAAATATTGTAGGTGCACGAATTCAGCAAAATAATCCAATATAGTCCAATAGTCCATAATAGTAGTGCATTATCTGCAGGATTGGCAATGTCAGAATTTGTTGACTTGAACCTTTTACAGCTCAAATAATTCTTTCATTTGATGATTGCTGCATGTATCATTTAATCAGGATATATGAGGTTCAGTTATCCCAGTCTCCACTGCTCCCCATCACCTCTCTTGCTGAGGTCCCCATCACCTCTCTTGCTGAGGTCATGGTTGATTGCTATACTTCATCATGCCAATGTTTGTGATTTTTCCTGAAATAGACAAATAATGCTCCCGACCCCTGTCTATCAAAAATGGAAAAACAAAACCAGAACTGATATGGTCGTCTAGAAAAATGGAGATGAGCAAATCCCTTGGCTAAGCCATTGCATTTTGTGTTTGTAGAGCAGTGCACCCTCATCTGGTATCCAGCCCTCACTCCTTGCCATCTTGTCCTTCCCTGTCTGAAGATTTCCATAAGCACCTCCCCATCCAGCCTCTGTGGGCTCCCTGCTGGCCACATTGCTCTGAACTTTATTCTCACAACAAACAAGTGAGCTAAGCACTATTTCATTTGACCCAAGGACATAGGATGAGTTTATATAACCATAACAAACTGGTTTTCTTGTTGGGGTAAAAGTCTGAACTCTAGACGTTTCCTTCTGGACCATCCTAACAGCCTCTTAACTGGTCCTCATCTCTCAGCCTGTTCCGTATCCATCTGCCACCTATATTTTCCAGGTTGGCCTCCTATTGCATATTTTTGGACCCTTTCCACCTCTGCCTCCAGAGTGGTTTCCTGTCACTGGCATATGGGCTGCCCAGATTTTACTCTTCATTCTCACAGAGACTTCAACTTAAGCCCCTCCCCAGCCAACCCCATCTTGTCATGTACTCCCACCCTACAGCCTCACCATCTTTCTGCTGCCCACTGTTTGGGACACAGAAATCATCTGACACAGCTCTTGTGCCATTACCATGTCCCAGAAAGAACCCACTCCTTGCTTAACTGCATTCCTATTACAGCATCTGTTACAGCATCCAATAACCTACTGGACATTATTGAATAAATAACTTACTGCGCAGTCTCCCTATGGTAATGACTGACAATATGTACGCACTGTGGAGTGTTTTATAGGCTTTCTTTTTTTATTAGTGTATTTCTGCAATATGTAATATTACATTCATTTTGTGGAATAGCTGGATTGTTCATGATTTCTTTGTCCCTCTACTTGCCCTTCCATTTCAATTACATGGAAATGTTCATGGAGCACTGGCATTAATTCTATAAAATTCTGGTAAAATTCAGTGGTGAATCTTTTGCCTCCTGGGCTTTCTTAGTTTGTAGAGTTCTTGTTACTGTATCAATTTCATTGCCTATGGCAGTTTACACCTGGTTTTTATATATTTTTGGTTAAATTTTTAGGTCATAGGTACCTCGGAATTTATCAATTGTGTCTAAATTCTCCAATTAATTGGGGGTTCCCGGAAGTCGGCAGAAATTCCTGACCTGGGCTAGGACTGGGTCCTCTCCAATTAATTGGAATATAAGTTTTCACAATAGTTTCTTATAATCCTCCTTATTTCAGTGATAGCTGCTGTCATTTTGCCCTTTTCATTATATTGACGTTAGTCTTCGCTCTCTCTCTCTCCTTTGGGAAATTTGACTAAGGTTAAAAAAATTACTTATCCCTTCAAACAGCCAATGATTCATTGATCCTTTGTATTTTTTTAGTCTCAATTCCATATATTTTAACTGTGATCTTTAAATTTCTTTCTTTTTGTTAGTTTTTGGGATATTTTTGTTTCTCTAGGATCTTCAGGTGCATCATTAGGTTATATATTTGGGACCACTGTTTTTTCTAATGTAGATGATCACAGGTATAGACTTTACTCTTACACCTTCTTTTATTTTGTCTCGCAAAATGCTCTATGTTGTATTTCCATTGTCACTTGACTCTAGGAATTTAAAAATTCTCCCATGATTTCTTCTACCATCATTAGTTATTTAAGAGCACACTGTTCAATATCAACATATTTGCATGATCTCTTTTGCTTTTGACTTGTAGTTTAATTCCATTATAATCTGATAGGATGCACAAGATCAATTATTTTGTACTTACTGTAACATGCTTTACTGCCAAGGATATGGTGTATTTTTGAGGAAGTTCCAGGAACAGCTGAGAAAGAAGCACACTGCTGTTCTTAGATGAAGCATTTTGTAAATATGTTAAATTCATTGGTTCTAAGTAGTGGGTTCACCTTGATTTTTATTTACTAATTTTTTTTTTTTTTGGTCTGGTTAACTGTCTGTGAGAGTTGGAGTATTAGAGGCCCCTACCAGAGATATACCTGCTACCTAACAAGGTGAATTTAGTCAACACTATTGTACTGCATGTTTACAAATGCTTATGTTGATAACCATGATGATGATGATGGTGTGGTGCTACATGCTTTTAATGACAATTAAGCAAAAGAAATAAATGAGAGAAGAGATCACACTCTTCCCCTATAAAAGTTCCCTAGACTCTGAAGGCAGAGCCCATATGCAACTCCATCTGTTGGAGGGTGCCCTACTGTTCAAGACCGCAGCATCTTGTGGGCAGCCAGCCAGACCAAGGTTTGGTCCACAACTTCAAAGACCCTGGAGATGGCTTGCAAGTTTCCAGGGTCCTAGGATTGAGTAAGAGGAATCCTACCACCTCAGATAGAACTGGGACACATAATAGTCTCCAATTCTGTTTTCTAAGAAATAGTGCCAAGGGCTGGTATGGGGACATTTTGTGCCTGCATAGCTTTCTTCCAGTAGAGAAAGAGATGATTAGAATGCTCTTTGGAAAACTAGCTTAATAAACACATGTATTGCACTCCCTTTGTGTCAGGGCCTCTTCTGGGATCTAAATACTCCCTGAAGAGGTCCTCTCCAGGTCTACTACACAGACACAGAGACCAGAGAATCTGGCTGTGGCCACAGTCACAAGTGAACAAGGAAGCATTTAAGTGCAGGCAGACTGTGGTTATAGTTGGTCTTTTTTTTTCTTTTTCCCCCATTGAGATATTCCACTGCTCCCCTGTGACCCACTCTGGAGCACTATATCAGGGTTTAACATAGAACTAATTAACAAGCTAGGAATGAGATTGGCTTTACCTAATGCTTGCCAGACTCTGGTGCAGGATGGGAATCATGTTTCCTACTTTACAATCAGAGATCAACCCCACAGGAGCCTTCATGACCCAGAAGAGACCTCTTCCTTAGATTCTTGGGGGCTGGGATGCTAGATCAGCCCGATTTCTGCTGATCTGTGGGAGGGCCACCATGCAAATTCTCTGTGGTGTGCAGGATGCATTTTCATAGCCCTTGTATTGGTCAGAGAGCAGGTTTCTCCCTTACTCAATGCCCAGCTGACATGTGAGAGGTCATATCATAGCCCTGTGTGAGGCATAGCCAGGAAAAAGTGGGTGGAGATGGAGCTCATGTAATCAGCCCTGTCCTCTTCACATACCTTTCCAGGCTTATTCCTCACAGAGCAGCTCATTGGACTCAAACCATGGCTGTCCTGCTGCTGGTGCCGCTACTGGGCTTGCTGGTCTTTCTCCTGGGTGTCTTTATCTGGGTTGTTTTTAAGGAACTACACACTGCAGAAGTCCCTTCTACGATGAAATATCCCATCAAGTTGAGAGCTGTACATTGTGTCTTCCAATATGCGATCACTTTGGTAAGTCTAATGTCGGCCTCATCATGAGTTGAGTGCTGTCCCTGTACCTTTCCTCTTTCATTCCCTTCTCCCTCTGTGTCCAGACTCCTGCAAGACAGAGTTTGCTGCATTTTTTTGTATCCACTGTTCTTTTTCTCTGTCTCCTCATTTCCTTTCTTTCTTCCTTATTTTTCTCCTTCCCTCCTCTATCCCTCTCTCCTTTCTACCCTCTTGTCTTCCCTTTATCCTTCCCTCTGTCCTTCCTCCATATTCTCTCTACCCTCATTAGCTGCCTCTTCCCTCAGCATCAAACACTTCCCTAGTACCAATCGTCTGGTATTTACTTATTTCATTTTTATGTATTTGGTACAGGGTCTCATTATGCGGCTCGGACTCACAGTGATCCTCCTGTTTTTAGCCTCCCCAGTTCTGGGATGATAGGTGTGTGCCACCAAGCCCGGACTTGGTCTCCAGCTCAGCGTGCCCTGGGGCAGGGTCAGCATGGCATGTGGAACTGGGGATTGAACCCTGCCTGTGCTTGCCAACAGAGGCGCTAAGTCTGCTGAGCTATCTTGCTGGCCCTCATCTGGTTCTCTTCTGAGGATTGAAAACAATCAAAAGCCAGTCACTGCACATGAAGGGCATCATAGGGACGAGCATTTTCTTCAGTGAGGCATTCTTCTCCCTCCAAATGCTAACCTGACCCCAAGTATTTGACTTGCCTAAGTGCAAACACCTCGAAGGCAGGGACCACTTTAGCTTCTTCAGGTAGGCCCTCAAATACAGAGATTGCACCTTGAAGGTAATATTTGTTGATCAATTTATATTGAATTCAACCAGTCTTTTAGGGTGACCTTGCCAACCAAGCTCTGAACAGGGCTATAGGGTGGGAGGGTGATAGCATACTACCATCTATTCAAAATTATAGCAGAGTGAGAAACAAATTTTTCCTTGAGGGAATCTCAATGTCCCAACCTTGGATGGGGACTCGAAAGACGCCAAAGGTTGGGGTTGGGGAGATTGCTCAGTAGAATAAGTGCTTACCCGGCAAATGTAATGGCCTGAGTTCAATCCCTGGTTCTGCCAAAGAAAGAAAGAAATGGGGCTGGGGAGATAGCTCAGTTGAATAAGCACCTGCCTGGCAAGCACCAGGGCCTGAGTTCAATCCCCGGCTCCACAAAAAAAAAAAAAAAGAAAGAGGCCAAAGGGTCTTCAGTGAATTACATGTGAGGACAACCATGAAGGATGAAGTGAGGTGGTGTAGAGGCAAGAAGCATCAGCAGCAGCCAGAACGTTCATGCATGTTATCATGGCCTCTCTCTAGCTGCGTGTTGTTCATGGGGTATTTGTTTACTCTCTTTGTAAATTAGTTTCTTCCTCTGTAAAAAGGGGGCAATGGTATTTATCACATATGGCAAAAAAGCATCAGATTACATGAGTGGTGGTGAAGCTCAATTGTGTGAATTTCTTTAGATTTGGGAACCACTGAGGGGATAGTAAAGCAAGCTTCTGTGTCTAGATGGGCCACAGAGGCATGACTCTGGATACTGTACTTGTTTCTCTGCTTTTTCCCCTCTAACACTGTTTCCTTCTCTGCTTCCTGGATGCCATGAGGTGAGCAGGCATCCTTTGCCAGGCCTTTGCACCATGCCCTTTTGCTTTGGAGCCAGCTGATCACGGACTGGAAACATCAGCCAAGGAAGCCTCTCTTCCTTGGAGCCGCCCCCAGGAGAGGCCATCTGGGCTATAACCTTCCACTGGGGGGTTGAGTATTTTCTCCCAATGCTGGGAAAGTGACAAATAAAAAAAAAACAAACAAACTGGTACCAGAGAACTAGGGTTATTGCTATGACTGTGTCTGCTCATCTGGTTCAGATCCCTTTGGAACTGATTTGCAGGTGGAGTTTGGAAAAATTTGGAGATGAGGGATTAAGAAGGCTGTAAGTAGAACTTTATGAGCAACTCTGGTCAGAGCTCAGAATACCAGAATACTGCTATGAATGGGAAGAGTAAAGGAAGACCTCATGAGGTGTAGTTTGGAGTGAAGATTCTTTTGGGAGCTAGCCTAGAGGCCCAAATATGTACATATGTATGTGTTATGCTGGATGAAAATCAGAATACATTTTAGCCATGTCCTGAGATTTTAAAGGCTGTGGACCAAATGATCTGGTAAAGAAAATATCAAGGCAAGCCAACATTCAGGCTGTGGTATGGGTACAACTGAATGTTTTCTGCCATTTTTATAGTGAGAATTGGAAGAAAAATTCAAGGCAGAAAAAAAAAATTAAAACATTACATTTTGGCCTAGAAAGAAGTATATGTAAATCTGATCAAAAGAGGTGAGGCTGGCCGGGGAGATGGCTCAGTGGAATAAGCGCTTCCCTGGCAAGCTCAAGGACCTGAGTTCAATCCCCGGTTCCACCAAAAAAAAAAAAAAAAAAAAAAGAGGTGAGGCTGCTGAAGAGATTAGTGCCACCAAAAGGAAACAAAGCACTTTGCACAGAGACAAAGAAAAAGATGCCTTGAGGGCATCTAGGAATCAGCAGGACCCCATCCATTGTAGCCTCATGGTGCAAAAGTGCAAACATTTTATTGGAGAAGAAAGTCCCTGGACCTCCTGCTCAAGAAGGGCTGCCAGGGAATGGTTTCCCTGGGATTCACTGCACTATGTTTGCCAATCCAGACACTTAGAAACTGCCCTTACCATGATCCAAGAGGGTCCACTGCTTGTGCTGGCGGCAGACCTTGGTGTTGTTCATATGTGGTAGTGTTAGTGGCATACAGAATAGAAGAATCGTGGGTTCAGAGAGACTTCCTCTCAGATTTCATAAGAAGATCTGGTAGGCTAGGCAAAGGGCTCCAGAAAGGACAAGCTGTGGAAAAAGTACAGTGGAGATCCCAGGAAGTTGGATATGCCAGGAATGTGAATGTAGAATGACTGTTGAGGCAAACTGTGGCATTGGAGTGGAAACAGCCAAGCAGAGGTGATGTGGGCTGCCAATTTCAAGGCTACAGGAGTGGAGTTGTCCAACCCCTTTGGAAATTGCACCTTCTTATCACATGCCTCAGATTCTGGGCATGACGCTACAGGACGCTAATGTTTTGTTTGGCGGAACTGGGGATTGAACTCAGATCCTTGCACTTGCCAGGGAAGCACTTATTCTACTGAGCCATCTCCCTGGTCCCCAGGACTTAATGTTTTTCTTGTTGCATTCTGGTATTCTTTTCTACCTCTAAGCCCTTCCTTTTAGCAAGGACTGTGGCATTGCACATGGGGATTATGTAACTTGTTTTTCACTTTTTTTGCAGGGGTTTACAACTAAGATTTGCTTTGAGTTTCTGAAGAAACTTTGATTTGGATTTTCAAAACATCCAAGTGAGACTTGAGTGGAAGTGACTTTTACATTTGTGGCTCTACGCAGGATAGTTTAGATGGAATTATTAACTTGTGTTTATTTGGAAGTGAAGTGCGGTTTAAGGAAATGTATTGGGGTGTCAAGTTGACAGTGAGTACAATGTGTTGATTAAGCTTGGTGTGTCAACATGACCGCCTCAGGAGAAGATGAGGGTTTGGCACATCAGATTTCTAGGGTATCTCAGTTGGCCATGGGTGCCTCACTTTGGATGCTATATCTTGTCCCTTGGCCCTTTCTTCTTGGTACTGTTTCCACATTCTGCTTCTCAGCCACCACGAAGTGAGCGTGCTTGCTCCCTCATGTCCTTCCACTATTATATTTCTTCCTTGTACCCAGAAAACCATGGACTGAGCTCCTTGAAACCATAAGTCAAGTAAGTCTGTCTCTCTCTTTTTCAAGTTGCAGATGTTTGGTATTTTGTCCCGGTGGTGGACAGATGGCTAATACAATATAGATGATAAGGGTTAATAAATTAGCAATGTTTGAAAAAGATGTGTTCTTGTGCTTCTGGAGTTTTTCACTATGGGCATCATCTTCTAGAGAAATGAACAATCTAGTTTATAATTACATAAATGGTACTGATTCAAGGAGAGAGTGAAGATTGTAATGCTCTGTCTCTCTTATTTAACCTGGGCCTGTGCTGCCCTAAAGGTTAAACTGTCACAAGATAGTGGACCTAGGTGGTTTCCATGTGGTCTAAACAAACCCCAAAAAACAACACAACAACAAAAAACCCGAAACAAACAAACAAACAAACAACCCCAAAACTGATATCTTCCAAACTTTAGTGCAGTGAGGGAAAACTTTGTAAACACTGACTGTAAACTGCAACCCCAAATCCACTTATTTATTGCAAAGTGCCAAACACTGCAATTAAACTCAAATATTAAAGTTTCAGTTTAGGAAATAAAACCAACTGCTACATTAACATCTTTTATCCTAAAATAAAAACATAGTGACACATGTGCCATAGGCTTACTACTACTGCTTTAGTGTTTCTCTTCAAGGGCAGCCTACAAGCTAAGCACCTGCTGATGTCAGCTGCTCCAGGCTGCTTCCAGAGGGTCGGCCATGGGTCTAAGGTTGGTTCTGAAGGGTGAGGTCAGCTTATGAGTTCCCTGTGCATCTCTCCAGCTTTGGGTCCTCCAACAGCTCACTGCTCATGATGATGCTGAGAATGGTGATATTTGAGTGCTTAGTGCCCATGAGCTTCCAGAAAAAAAGATACTCAAGAGAAGGAGAAGAAGTTTAAGGGGGAAGAGGGAAAACAGTAATGTTTCTGTGGTCTAGAAGGCAAGATCCTAGTCTGGTCATCAGACAACTCTGGTCTAAGCCTTGAATGTCCCACCATGTTTGCAGTACATATTGTTTAGACAGCTTGGTCCATGTACATAATAATCTTATTTCTTTTTTCATTTCCTTTCTCTTCTTCCTTTATCCATCTCTTGATCCCCTTTCTCTCTGAGAAAGACCTACCTTTCTACCTCCATTATCTATCTTTCATTTTGCTCTTTACTTGTCCTTTGGTTTTCTCATGTAAGAGAAGTCATGTGATAGTTAAGCTTTTGTGTATGATTTATTTCACTTACTATTATAATCTCAGAT